CACTATTTTAAACAATTTTTCCGGCTTTATAGCATCAAAAGTTTGTAATAAATTCAAGCGACAGTAAAAGCATGCGCGTGACGTCACTGAGTACAAGTTAGGAGAATCTCAACGTCGATCTTTTGAGTAAAATTGTTTACTATGTAATATCATGGATTGTAAAATAAATGGATAGGAAATAGCTGACGTCATTGACTGCATCCTTGTTGAAAAACGTGACGTCACGCGTATTGCGAATGTTACCATAGTTCTCGGCATTTTTGTTGTCTTGCTATATTTTCCACTTTAAAAGGGTGATATTGAAGCATAAACTGGTCTATTTGTTTTAAAAACATGCCTAAGCCACGACAAAGTATTCAAGGTAAATGTTTTTCGTCTTTTTTTTTTTTTTTACATTTGTAGCTACGAAATTGGCGTCACAAATTTTAACGAAATTTGCGATGTATTTTTCACAGTTTAGTGCTTGAAATATTTGCTAAAATTGACTGGGAATACTTAGAGCTTTCATCGTAGAATGGCGTGGTTATATTTATTTGCTCTTTGAGTCTTTGACTAAAATGTTTAGCTGTATTATTGCTAAACATGCCGTTTTTGAGAATTTGGTTTTCAACTAGGTTGAGATATCCAACCACGCCATCAGCCCATTGAAAACATTAGGTCACGTCAGCTAGTTTCCTATCCATTTATTTTATTATCCATGGTAATATTACCCTGGAACCAGAGGGTATTTATTTTCGCCTGTTTTGAATAACCCTCTGGTGAAATTGGCGTAGTTTTTGGGTTTACATTCCACACATAACTTTCAAAAATGGAAGCAAAGAGTTGATTGGCTGCTGACTATAGGATCGATAGACTACGTGTTCTGATTGGATATTGTAAACATCATAGCCTGTTCGCAGGCGTTTCGTGTTTTGATTGAATTGAAACATTTGAATTTTGATCGAAATTTCTATACTATTAAATAAACGAACAAAAGTTGAAAGAAGCAGTTTTATAGGCTGCATTAATAGATAGATTGATAAATTTCCTGAATTAAAAGTTTAACGGAGCATCAATACCGCGCCTTGTCCAATTTGATTCACATTAAAGATGTATTTGCATCTTGCTATCGGTTATGGGAAGAGTTTAATATTCCAAAGTTCTAACACCGAGAGTAGCACGACGACTTGGCAAAAGCCACAATTTTCTGGAGAACCCCATCTTAATAGTCATTTGCAAATTGAACTCTTTCATTGACTCTCACGTCCGTGAACTAAGAAAGCGTGGATGCCGTGTTACTTCACTGTCAAACGAAGAGGACGAGAAAGCAATACTAGATGGAGAGTTTACATTCGCATTTTGTAATCCCGAGTCTATTATTCGAAATGCGAAATGGAGAGGAATGGTTTTATTTGAAATCTACAAGACAAATTTGCTTGCTTTTGTATTAACAGACAAAGTTCACGTCGGCCCAAAGAGGTGTGTTTAATAAATTTATAAAATACAGATTTTTTTGAATGTATATTGCAAGATTAAAGTGAATGAATATAAATATATATTTATATTAAATTGAATAGATGTGATGTTTTAAATTGAATGAAATTCAGGAGAATGAATATTGCTACAAATGGGCAGGCATACACTGCACAGTAAACATGCGATAAAACCCTGTCTAGACGGCCTGGCGTCAAGGATAATGATTGGATAATATTTTTAGAATATGATGCATTAAGCCATTATACATTTTTTGCATTCTTTATCCGAACCAGGAATCGCTAACAAATTCACCAGAGGTTTTTCCTTCTTCGATTTCGCGCGTTTTCTCGCATTTCGCGTTCGCCAAACCTAAAAAAACCTCTGGGCCAGGGTATGGTAATATCAACCTCGTATCCAGAGCTTTTTGCTTCCGCGGTTGGATGGTAAGCGAAAAAGTCCCTGGATTCGGCTGGTCTGTTTTGCAACCTGAATGGTCAATGATTTTGAATGTAAGTAGCCTATTCAATATATGTGGGAAATGGTAATAATTATTATTTTGGTGGAACGGGAGTGCAGTGACAAATTTACAATTAGTTGTTGAAGGACTAAAGTACTGAGTAAATAAGACTTTTGACATTGCGCATGA